AACAGTAGAACTCTAAAGGATCCCGCCAGCGTGGCAAGGGGGGTTATGAATGCCAGACTCTGTGGAGAGGGGAGGTGTGTGCAGCGGTCTCCAGGTGAAAGTGGTGTCCGAGTGAGGGTTCAGGGATGAATGGGAGTGCCCTGGGCTGCAGCACTGAAGGGGCAGCGGCCAAGCCAGTGGATTAGTGAAATTATGCCTGGTTTGGTAACGCCGGACTATAAGGACTGAGGTCAGTTGTGGCAGGAACTAGAGGTAAACCAGACGGGACGTGAAAATCTTTGTGAAAATCAGGCTGAGGAATCTGAGCTCTGTCTTGGGACTTGCCAGTAGGACAGCAGCATGGTCAGAATTACCACCCTGATTTATGGTTTTAAGTGCTGACTTGACCTCATGTGTTTAATCTCTTCCTGTCCTCAAGCTCACATGTCAGTTACAACATTTTCAGTTACAAGTGACACAGAACTCAACTCACATGGTTTAAACCCAACGTGGATGAACCTTGAAGATATAAGCCAGTCACCACAAGACAAATACGGAATGATTCCCCTTACATGAGGTACCTAGAGTAACCAAATCCATAGAGACAGGAAATAGAGCGGGGGGTCGCCAGGGACAGGGGAAAGAGGGAACAGGGAGCTATTGTTTACTAGGTACAGAGTTTCAGTTTTACTTCTGGAGACGGATGGTGGTGATGGTTGCACAAGAGTGTGAAGGTACTTAATACCAGTAAACTGTATACTTAACAGTGGTTAAAATAAGTATCTTATGTATATTAGTACAATACAAAAAAGTACCAAAACAAAATGGCTTAAACCAAACAGAAAACATTATTTCCTAACAGCTTCCTTGGTAGAGCAGCTTCAGACTTGGTTAGTTGTTGATTCAACAGTATCAAAAAGGACCCAGGTTGTCTTCAGCTGCCCACTCCACCAGCCTCCACCCACCTGCTTCCTCCTCAGCCAACTCCCCTTGTAAGACAACTGCCCCAGTCAGAAATTTCTTTCCAACAGACTCACAGCTATGGAGAACAAACTAGTGGTCAGCAGTGGGGAGAGGGAAGGTAGGGGATTAAGAGGCACAAACTAGGGCTTCCCTGGTGGCGCAGTGGTTGAGAGTCCGCCCGCCTGCCGATGCAGGGGACACGGGTTTGTGCCCTGGTCCGGGAAGGTCCCACATGCCGCGGAGCGGCTGGGCCTGTGAGCCATGGCTGCTGAGCCTGCACGTCCAGAGCCTGTGCTCCGCAACGGGACAGGCCACAACAGTGAGAGAGGCCTGCGTACCGCAAAAAAAAAAAAAAGAGGCACAAACTACTATGTGTAAAATAAGCTACAAGGATAGGTTGTACAGAGCAAGGCGTATAGCCAGTATTTTATCATAACTTTAAATGGAGTATAATCTATAAGAATTTTGAATCACTGTGTTGTACACCTGAAACTAATATTATAAATCAACTATCCTTCAATTAAGATAAAGAAAACAAATTTCTTTCCAAAAGAGCATCGAATAAGAGAGACCATCTAAGAGCAAAAAAGGCTTCCAAAATCACGTATTCTTTAACATCCCCACTTGAATGTCTAATAGCCATTTCACCTGCAGCACAGCCGAAGCCGAGCTCCTGATGTCCTCCTCCCCCACCCTCTTCTCACCATCTTTCAGTCTCACTAACTGGCAGTTCATTCTTTCTCCAAACCATTCCTGTACTCAGGCCAAAAACCTTAGAGTCATCTTGGGCCCCTCTCTTTGTGTCCCACCCTACATCCATCAACAGATTCTTTTGACTCTGCCTTTAAATGTTTCCAGGGTCCAGCTGCTCTTCACCACCATGACTCTACTTTGAGCCACTACCATCTCTTATCTGGATTATTGCAGTACCTTCTTAACTGGTCTCCCTGTTTCTGCCCTTGGTCACTTACTTACTCATTTTTTGAACAGATATTTCAACGAGTACTTAATATATGCAGGCATTGCTCCGGGTGCTAGCAAGTCTGCAGGTAAAAATCCCTGCCCTCCTGGAGCTTTCATTCTGTTCTCAAAAGAGCAGTCAGAGTGATCTCCTTCAAATGTTAAGTCAGTCATGTCACTTCTCAGAATTCTTAGATTTATGCTATAGTCTGTACATGTAGGTGATGAGGAAAAGCACGTTTTAATCTCAGGGTGCCTGTGCCTCTGACGAATGCTGTCATGTCACAGAGCATAGTTCAGTTTGAATGTGAACTTTTAAAGTGCAGAGAAAGAGGATGAAAAAAATAGTTTCTAGCATGCAGGATTCTAGAAATAGAAAGCACCGCATTGAATGACTTCAGAGGCATCTATGTGATAGAGTGATCACTCCAGTAATGATTTCTTAAGCACCTGCCTCTCATCCTTTTTCCTTATTTTGCTGAATTCTTTGGACAAGTTGAGCTCTCAAAACACATTGAACATCTATTAAATGGATTTGCCCCCTCTTGAGTTTTTTTAAATTGAGCTAACACGTACATGCAATAAATTACAACGTTTTCAGTATACCACTTAATAATGTTTTGCCTGTGTATGTTCCCATGTAACTTCTAATCCAGATCAAGATATACCATTTTTTTTTCAGCACTCCAGAAGACTCCCTTGTTCCCTCTTTCAGTCCATATCATCTTCCAAATGTAACCAGTATTCTGACATGTATCACTGTAAAATTAGTTTTGCCTGTGTCTGAACTTTGCATTGATGAAATCTTTTACATCTGGTTTCTTTCATGCAAAATTAGGTCTGTGAGATTCATCCATGGCATTGCAGCTAGCTCTAGTTCTTCCTTTTTTGTTGCAGTATCATATTCCATTGTGTGAAAATACACAATTTATCCATTCTACTATTGATAGATATTTGCGTTATTTCCTGTTTTGGCTGTTATGCGTAACATGTCTTTTGTTGGCTGTAAGCATTCATTTCTCTTTTCACTCTGGGAGTGTACTTGCTGGGTCATAGGACATGCTTACGGATATAGAACTTAAGGAGAGAGTGCAAACAATAAAGTGGTTGTACCCTCTGAGGGGTGTGAGATGTCTTCCCGGATCCGGTGGGTCTGAGCTGCTGCCTGACCCATTATTTGTTCATGTTTTTGTCTTCCCCCTGCTCTACCCCAAGCCACAGTGTTGAACAAAAGTAATGATTAGAGCACAAAGACAAGGTTGAAATTGTGCAAGACGGAATATCAGTAATCCTTGGATTAAAAGGGAAATTCTCCAGTGACCTATTATCACATGACACAGTTCTGTTACCTTCATCACATCAGTTTCAGTTCCATTTTCTCAATACTTGAAATTTTTTTTGAAAGAGGTGGGAAACAAAACACAGTAGGAAACCCTATTCCTAAATACTAAATGTTTGGGCTACAGAATTAGGCGAGACTGGAGGGGGCTAGCAGTGATCTGATTTCATGCACATACTGATCGCTAGGAATACAAAGTGATGAACAAGATACATAGAGCTTCCACCACGTGGGGAGGCCGACCGGCAATCGCAGTGCACCTTGGGGAGAGCCATGGGGAGGAGCACAGTAAAGAGAAATGCCGGCGTCTTCCTTTACGTGACACACACGAAAACCACGACGTTACTGCGCCGGAGGTCACTCAGCTCTGCACCACCAGCCAGGTGGCCTACCCTTGCCTCCGTTCTGACACTGTCTCCCTGGAGGTGGCATCAGACTCCACAGGTTACAGGTCGGTCCCGCAGGACCGACCCCACCTCAGATGCCAATTGCAAGTCTAGGTTGTCACTGTGCTTCTGACCGATGAGGTCCAGATCAGCGGTTCCCACGACCCGCTCCTTGGGTTCGATCAGTTTGCTAGAGGGCACAGCATGAGCCAAGCCTGGAAGCTAGGCAGAGCCCGACACGCCGGGAGCTTTTAGAAAAGTTAAATCTTCACTGGGGCTGAAGCATAATGTTTCGGGGAGAATAGTAGCAAGCAGTGAAGCTAGAAATATAATCAGATATCAGACCATGAAAAGCTCTAAAATAATAACAGCAGCCAATGTTCTGGAGGAATTGGCTTTTTCCAGACTCCGGACTAAGCACATATCAAGGACTATCTCATTTAATATTTAATATCCTTAAAACACAGGTACGTTATTATAGATGATAAAATGTAATTAACTGGCCAAAGCTACAGCCCTTAAAATGACAGGTCTAGACCTTAAATCTGTATCTTTTGAATGATCGAAAGCCCGTTCTCTTAGCCACTCGTATAGCTAATACCACATAAGCCATGCTTTATCCTCCTAGGAGCTCAGCTTCTTAAATGTGATGTTTCATTATAGCGGCACCATTTAGGATAATGATTCCTTTTAAAGAAAAAAACTTCACGGACCTTTAATATTGACTTAAATAAGCTAGTGTTCCTCAAATGGATGCAAATATAAAACTGACATAAACTCCTGGTACGTACACTGCTCGTATATCAAAATAAGTATACCAATTAATACCCCCCCCCAAAAAATTAAAGTGAATGAAATGCAAATTAAGTAGCACTAATTTAATGTCACTGATGGTGTTTGGTGAAAATCGTTGCTCTGGATGAGTGAGTGGCACTGACACTTCGCTTGGTCAGGGCACCCTGGCTGCCAGCGGCTGTGGAGACTGCACTTCCCATACCTGACCTCTCGTTCAACCTTCCAGGAAACCATAACGCTGTCTCGCTTCACTTGGAGTGTGGACATCTCACACGTTAGATCCACCACTTCCCATTCACCTATAACACCTAAAGGCGTGCTGCATGGTACCCATAGGATTGTAAACCCACAGGCTCTGAAATACAGTTCCTGTGTTTTAATGCAGCTTGAATTCAGAATGTTTATTTAAAGTTCCAAACTTAATCAAATGAGATTCGATCTGGAAAGGACTTTGGTCTGTGAATGAGAGTGGGAAAAGGAGGACGGCTACGAGGGGCACGTGTGCTGGCTTTTGAGGGCTGCTAAAGTAATGCTTAGTAAGAGACTCTTCTGACTTTTTTTTTTCTGCTGCTTCACAGGGGTTGGCACCAGGAATTATTACAAAAAGATTGGCTACAGATTGCAAGGTCCGTACATGGTAAAACATCTAAAATAACCGCCACACCAGCGCACCTTGATAACTATCCTCCCTGGCAGAAAACAGAGATTCAGGATGTGTTGAACACTCAGCACAGAGGCTGAGCGAAGCACATGGACCTCCCTTGACCCCCTGACAAGGAGCCTCCCCCTCGCCCTCCCGCTGGAGCCACAGAGACTGGAAGCCGCACCCAGGGCCAGGCCGGGTGTCTGCTGACCAAGCCCACAGAGCCTGGGCACTCAGAGCCCCCGCACCGCGCCCTCCTGCATGTTCTCAAGACGTCACTTCCGTTTCAAGGCTTAAGTCCTGTATCCAATTTCTAAATTCTGCATGAGGCCTGCAAGTGACCTAACCATGACTCAGGCACAGTGACAAAAGCAAACTGATCATCTCATTTGAACTGCATGGTTCATGAACTAAAAACTGGCTATGTCATTTGAGGAGGACACTTAGTTTCTATCAGCAGGTTATTTATATCCTGTACAGACAAAACGCCAGGTTGGGACATGTGAAAACTGTCACGTTGATCTCTGACCTATAACTACATATGCCTTCCAGCACAGGTCAAGAAAATGAGCTTTTCTTTTCACGGACAGCATTCTGGTTTGAAATAACAGTGTGATGGGGAGAGAAGAAGCAAGATTGTAGGCTTATGTTTCAAGCTTGAAACCAGCCTTTCTCATTTGGGCATCTACCATCTATGAAGGGCCATTACAGACATCCATTTATTTCACATTTTTAATCGTCTGTACTTTGCACACTCTTGACAATTGCAAAACACCGTGGGCGGCACTTTCTCCCAGAGAGGCGTTTGGCTTCCCCATTGGTCTGTCCTGAGCAGGCAGAGTCTGCCGTGCATGTATCTGGGTTTGGGTGATATCTGTGGATGTCAAGAGGCACATCCACAGGAGCTGTTCCCTTTATTTTAATTCTTTAAATGGATTTTGGTTTGTTTTAAATGGAGAAAGGTTAGGGTTAAACTTTTTTGTGAAAGCAAAAAAATGGAAAACAGGCCCAAATCTAAAAATAGGAAAGAGACTAGCTTTTTCAAAGTTTCATCTTTATAGAACTGCCTCTATATAACTTCCAGGTAATCTAAGGAGACTCAGCCTGGAGAGGGTCAGTTCTAAGAACGTAGCTTAACCCTGCATCCCTTGGCTTCTGTGGCATTTTACAAAGGTTTATTAAATGGAATTGATTCTTCTAAAGGTTTGGAAAATAAAATCTTCAGCATACAAGGAAGAATCACGGCAGGTGTTTTCCTCTCCCTGTAAACGCAGTGACATTTGCTGTGAGTTTACAGGTTTGGGTTTCCTGCCTGCGGCACTGTTTCTTTCTTCCTGGGTCCTGTTTGCCATTTTGTTAAACTGCTACAAGGCAAATGGCGTTGACTTCCTGTGGGCTCGCTGTGGCACTGCAGAGGCTTTCTGTGAGTGCCACTTAAGGAATTCAGCTACCTCTCAATTTTGAGCCAAACTGACGATTATAGCCCAGAACACAGCCTCTCAGATAACTGAGGAACTGCCCCAGAGAAGCGTGGTTTTCAGGACAGTCTTGGGGGAAAAAAACCAAAAAACAAAAAAGATCGGCACATACACAGCGAGTCAGTATGGTCTTGGCACCTGGGAAGGAAGCCTTGTCATGGAAGGAGTATCGGCACTGGCTTCCCAGCCAGAGAGGCATTTAACCTTTATGTTTAACGTGGACATTCTTCCAGTCAGTGCGCCCTTTTCTTTAATAATTAAAGCAGACGTACAGTGTATGTTCAATAGGCCACAAACAGGCTGTTGTGTTTAGCATCAGATTCAAGTTAACTCATGGATAAGCCAGAATGACTTCCCCAGACCTCGATATGTGAACATTTCTTTTACCAAGCCTTTCTGCCGCTAGAAGCTTCAGCTTCTCCCCTGACTGCCAAGCACTGTCCCCGACATCTGTGGTGCCTGGCGCCTCCACAGCCCGGCTGGCCTGGCTCTCCTAGAGATACGTGCACTTGCTCAAATGACCACCTCGTAAGAAAGATCAGTTAGGCAGGATCCTGTCCGCCTCCGCCTGAAACCTTTAAAGCTGCAGCTTGTGTTTCTGATCTGTATTGAATGACTCCTTAGCAACCATCTCAGGCCCACTCACATAGCTCCGCTTTTGACTCAAGTTTTTGTTAAATCACCTGGAGAGGTTTTGTTGTTGTTTTTAAATTATCAAAAACAGACTGAAATCTATTCAAATAAAAAATGAGACTTTAAAAATACATTATCGCCAAGTAAAAGGGCCTGGTAGAGCTCACTGTTTCCCCAACTTAGGAATGAATGTGGAGCCCTTTTAAAGGAAAAAATGTCTAACACAAACGAATACTGAAGAGTACAACTTAAAAGCCAAAGCCTGTTCTATGAAAACAGCTTTCGAAATGCAAGTTTTCATTTCCAAAGGTTTTTTTTTTTTTTTTTTTTGCGGTACGCAGGCCTCTCACCGTTGTGGCCTCTCCCGCTGCAGAGCACAGGCTCCGGACGCGCAGGCTCAGCAGCCATGGCTCACGGACCCAGCCGCTCCACGGCACGTGGGATCCCCCCGGACCGGGGCACGAACCCGTGCCCCCTGCATCGGCAGGCAGACTCCCAACCACTGCGCCACCAGGGAAGCCCATTTCCAAAGGTTTTTATGGGTGGTTGTTTTTTAAGATTATCATCTAATTAAAAACAAAATTTTGTTCATAAAGAACCCATAGACCCTTAAGCTGATGAAAGAGCTCAAGATCTAGGTTCTGAAAACCTGGGCTCCTTTACTAACTCTGAAGCTGTGGGCAAGCCCCCTCCCCTTCTTCAGCTACACACTCCCCGCCCCCCTCCAATTTGTAACATGAGAGAATGGCCCATCTGTCAGGGTAAGCGCAAGGTCCAGTGGGGTCCCATTTGAGAGACACTGCATAAACCACGACATTATGTAAAATGCCGTTAACTCCAGTGAAGTGGCTTCTCGACAGATGTGTGACCTCGAGCAAGAAAACTCTGCTTCTCAGCAAGTTTCCTGTCTGTAAAGTGGAAATGATAACAATTTCTCCCCCGTGCAGTAGTTGTCAGGATTAAATGAGCTCACGTATGTCAGTTTCTTAGACCAGGGCTTGTGGAATGCAAAACACACTACAGGTACTGGCTATTATGACCAATAGGTAACAAGTGCAGTATCTGGCCCATTTTAACATGGGAGTTTCTTATCTGTTGGCAGTAGAATCTGATTTTTTGCTAGAATCTCTAACTTTTGCCTTCTCTCCCATCCTCTCATTGTTCCTTCTGTCTCATTCACATAAGCCTAGGGTAACAAATTGTCAGATCCATGCTTTGAGGGACAAGAAACTAGCTGAGACTCTGCAACAGCAAAAAGCATTTCCAAATATCACTCATTCTGGGGGCTTCCCGGAAAGTTGTCCAGTATTAGCATGGGCTGTGGTCGCCCATGAGTGTGCACAGGTAGCCACATCCACTTAGGGAGTCCCCCGAGGGAGGCTGGCCACCTTCCGTGGCAGGAAGAAGCATCTGTGCGCCATCTGTGCCTTAGGGTTGTGTGTGCCCGCTGTACGCTCGTGTTGAACTCCGTGCAGGCAGCTCCAGGAACTAAGCTTACAGACCTTTTAAAGAATCTGATTTTCACATAGATAATCAAACACATGCCTGTAACAAGGGGCAAACCAGTTGCTTTTCTACAGCCAAATGTGCAGCCTTATCTCTTCCTGTCTCCACATGCCTAAAATACCCTTCTGTCCACCTGGAGGACCCCTCCTCCAAGGAGGGAACTGCCATCCCACGTGCTGTTTCTCTATCTCGGCCACCCTTATGCAGCCCTCAAGGTCAACGCTCGTCTCCCCCCATTAACAAATGAAGACACAGGCTGGTGTCATCATGGCTGGGCCTGAAGCCCCAGGGCCACCACGTTGCCCATTAGAGTCGGCACCAGCCCTAAATGTCCACGGATCGCATACGCAGCCACGTGAAAGGTGCCCGCGGAGCGGCCCAGCACAAAAGCCCTGAGCTCAGCTATAATACTAAGTGGGTTTAGGATTCCAACGCGAGTCACTGACTCGGCCTTTCTCCACTCCACCCCCATGTTTTCAGTCAGCTTATGTTTAAAGAAGACACAAGTACTGAGCAACGAGGCTGTGCTTTCATATTATTTCATCCTCACAACAACCTGTAACCTGAGTCCTGTCACCAGCCCGGTTTTCCCCAGTGCAGGTAGTGGAAGGGCACAATGTCATCAAGAGAGAACGCAGAGCAAAGGGAGAGTCTGCTCTTTCCGTTTCAATAAAAGTAGATTTTTTGGGTTCTAAAAATTATATATGCTCAATATAACAGATTGAAATGAAACAGAAAGGTACAAAATAACCTGAAATCCCACCATCAGACAGTGGTAAGCCCTGTGATGAACGTGCCTCCATGCGTCTCACCCGCACCCGAACGCACACAGCCATCAGTCACCTTTACGTAAAACGGTCACGCAGTACACGTCGCTTTGTAACCTTTTTCACTCCACAAAATGTAATAGCAGCATCTTCCCGTGTCAGTACACACGGATCTACTTCATCGTTTTTAATGACTACCTAGCTTCCCATTGTCTGCAGATCCCACACTTTAAGTGGGTCCTCTCATATCTTACATTCCTTTATATCCTCATTGTCACAATAGCTAGAATTGTGTATGAAGCATGGGGGCTGCATACACTCGTTGACTCAATACTAAGATTTGCTTTCGTTTTTTTCTACAAGCCTCACTCATCCGTGACAGGCTTCTGTGTCCCTCCCTGTGGTTCTTCGCCCCCAAGCCCTTCCATCCCTCACTGTTACCCACCTTCCAGGATGTGGGGAAGGAGCAACCTGCCTGAGGCCTGGCCGTGCCCCGTCAGAGGCAGCAGCACCTGCGGTTGGGAGCAAGTCCCATCACACAAAATGCCAAGCTCTGCGTCACCGAGAGGCGCCGGAGCATGAACGTACTTTCATTGAGGTCAGAGGTGACCGGATCTTATCTCATCTCCCCTGATGGAAGTTACTGCTTCAGGTCACATTCCTCAACTGCTCAAGCCCTGCAGGGAAGGTTATCCTCTTGTTTCAGGGCCCATCTTTTCTGGGAGGTTAGCGGTATGAGCTAACCTCACAACATTTTTTTTTTTTTAATGGTGTTTCAGGGCTCACGTGCCCTCTCTGTAACTCTCTCCCTTTTTTTTTAATTAATATCTTTTTATTTTTGGCTGCTTTGGGTCTTCGTTGCTGCGTGCAGACTTTCTCTAGTTGCGGCGAGCGGGGGCTACTCTTTGTTGCGGTGTGCGGGCTTCTCATTGTGGTGGCTTGTTGCAGAGCACAGGCTCTAGGTGCACGGGCTTCAGTAGTTGTGGCTAGTGGGCTCAGTAGTTGTGGCTCGTGGGCTCAGTAGTTGTGGCACACGGGCATAGTTGCTCCACGGCATGTGGGATCTTCCCGGACCAGGGATCGAACCTGTGTCCCCTGCATTGGCAGGCGGATGCTTAACCACTGTGCCACCAGGGAAGTGAGCCAGGAAGATGATAGTCCCTGCTGTCCAGCGGGGCAGGTGGGGAGGGGCCCAGCACTTGGCCACCACCCCACCCCACCCTCCAAGGAAGAGCCAGCATGGCATCCAGCTGCTTGGGTTTGAGGCTGGCTTCTGCCTCCATCTAGCTTTGCAAAAACTAGGGTCTTGGACCACTGCGTGCTTGGGGTGCTGGGGCAGTAGTTAAGGGACTACTTACATCAACCTGAAGGAAGGGAAAGGAACGCTGGGGAAAGGGAAGGAGAAAGGGAAGAATATCTGAGCGGGCAGGCCTGGTATTGCCCTCACAACAATCCTCCGAGGTAGGAATTTTGGCCCCCATTTCATGAATGAGAAACCAAGGTTCAGAACGGTTAAATAATGTAACCAAAGCCACAAAGCTGGTAAGTGAAGAGCTAAGTATAAAGGCAACAGGTTGACTTTCGCAAAGATTTAAGGACCCTAATACCTATGAGCAGTGGTGGCTCTAGAATTTCTAAAACTGATGGTTTCAGGCTGGCAATTGGGTTGGAAAGGGATTTTTTTTTTTTTTTTTGAAGCTATGTTTGCCTTGCAGATGCTCTTTGCTCTCCACCCCCATTAACCTCAAGCCACTTCTCACCACAACTGCCAGTGAGCTCTCCTTTGAAAAAGGACTCGAATAAATACAGCCAAGAGACATATCCAAATAAGGAACTTAGGGATAGGGA